TATATGAACATTTAGATTGTTTTTAGCATGTTTTATAGGCCATTTTTCTGTTTGACAGTCCGTATTTTCCTATCCGTACCGCCCATAGGTCCATAAATTATTGTAGTGTTTATCAACAAAGATTTTGCGCTCGATCTTTTCAATTCAATTTTATGGAAAAACGAGCAGAAATGCATATGATTTTTTTTAGACCTCTTGATAGATATATGTCTGTGGATTCAGGAAAGGTATCACTGTAATTGATTGAAATTTTCCTTTGGACCAAATTTTGGAGACTTTTGTGACATGTTCACCCCCTTTTTTTGCAATATTTTGTATCAAAGAAATGCAGATTGTTGCCATGGTTACACCCAAAAGAGATTATATTTCACCATTATAACCATTAGAAATCAAATCTATGGAAGATTTTCTTTCTATAAATATACACATGCATAACACAAATATTAAGCCTTATTTGTTAGAAAGGAAGGGAAAGAGGGTGTTTAAAAATTATGAGTGTCAATTTTAAGTTTTTTTTCTAACTGTGTATTGCTACCATAAGTCTCATAACATTTTGTTGAGGCTAACTTAAGTTAGAGAACAGAAACGAAAAATTCAGCAATTTTCCATTTGTAAATGGGCATAACTCTAGAACGGTAAAAGTGACACCACCAAAATTCAAACTTGATCTGTATTTTGTGGTAATAAGCATTGTGTATAAGTTTCATAACATTTGGTTGATGCAAACTAAAGTTAGAGAACAGAAACCAAAAATTCAGCAATCTTTATGTTTATAAAGGGGCATAACTCAAGAACGGAAAAGTGACGCCACCCAACTTCAAACTTGATCTGTATTATGTGGTAATAAGCATTGTATATAAGTTTCATAACATTTGGTAGAGGCAAACTAAAGTTAGAGAACGGAAACGAAAAATTATGCAATTTTTATGTTTATAAAGGGGCATAACTCAATAACGGTAAAAGTAACGCCACCCAATTTCGAACTTGATCTATATTATGTGGTAATAAGCATTGTATATAAGTTTCATAACATTTGGTTGAGGCAAAATAAAGTTATAGAATGGAAACGAAAAATGTAAAGGGGCATAACTCAATAACGGTTATAGTGACGCCACCAAAATTCAAACTTGATCTGTGTTTTGTGGTAATACGCATTGTGTAAAAGTTTCATAACATTTGGTTGAGGCAAACTAAAGTTAGAGAACGGAAACCAACTTTGGGATGTACTGACGTACAGACGGACAAGACGCTACGGCGGGGGCATAAAAAACTACTTATTTTTAATTGTGCATTAACTCAACTTTAAAACAAATAACTGGCAAATGGGTAGATGGAACCCTACAGTTCAGAAGCAGTGGTATCAACCAAATGATAGCAACATAAGCTTGTTGTAATACCAGGTTCAGTGTAAACAACTTTTTTTGAATATCCTTCAACTGTTAAGCTGAAGACCAAATGTTTGGGAAGACAAAATACAAATAAGTTTGTTAGCTTCAAAACAAAAAGGGACCAACAAACACTTAAAAATCTCTGAGGTAAACTTTGCTTAAGGGAGTTTAATCTTTAATTTGGAACAGCATTAACCCTTCTCATGTAGGTCCCCTCATTTGACAGGCTTAGGTGTCATCTTCCTGTATTTTGCATCCGCAGTGTTCCATAGTTTTAAAGGGAATCTTGTCTGATATCATTTCACAGACTCTACATCTGAATCAAGTGTAAGTTTATTTTCTATGGCATTGAGTGTTTTTTAAGGACTGAAGGAACATAAATTCAGACCTAGAAATATGAGTTGTCAAAAAAAAGCATGTTTGGTGGGGTGGGCTGAACTTTTTGCACTCACACATGTCAAGGCAGTGAAGAGTCAAGAATATGCAAAATTACATCTACTTCAAGTGTTTTCAGAAGATCAGGACAGTGTACTTGCTACTTTTAGGTTGAGGACCATGTTCAGTCAAAAAAGGTATAAATTCACTATGTTAGTCACTTTTTACCAGAATAGCCTACTGTTAGCTTCCATAGACTACTCTAGCAAGGGAGGTTTTCTTCCAATGATATTTTTGCTCCCCATTAGGACCACTCTCTGAGGAGGACACAAAAAACTGTACCCCAGCACTTAATTGGACTGAGGGTTAATAAGTAGGCCAGGATATTAGCCAAAACAAGTTTTTCCAAGGGTAACCACCCTTTGTAATTAAACATTTTGGGTATCAATTTGTCTACAGTAGAAACTACAAGGTTTTCAACTGTCAAACTCACAGTACAAATTAAAGGGGGTTTGACACTTAACTTGGACAAACAGAAATGGTGAATTTTTTGACTATCAGCTTTTACTGTCCCCTTGTCCAACAAATATGTGTGGTATACTAGTCCAACAGAGACTAAAATCATTTGGTTGTCAACTAGTTCCAAAAAAGACAAAGATTTTTTTATTGCAGCTAATTTAGTCCAGTAGTTTTTGCACTTTTAAAATACAGTTGTAAATACATGTGAACTTAAATAAGGACAAGACAGGAATTCATAAAACCTCAAACAACTTCAAAGATTTTTTAAAGTAGTGGGCATTGATGCCCCAACATCAAATATAACAAAATTGTCTTGCAAAATCAATTACTGTAGCAAAATAGCATGTATGTACATTTTCCATGAAAAGACAGTTTGACTGAGAACTGCTTCTTCTTCAGCAAGTGCTGCAATTTATCATAATACATTGTTATCTGAAGAACCACTACAATTTATATTTAATGAATGTCAAAGCTTCAGATTAATGACAGCTCCACTGGATAAAATATCATAACTACTTAAGGGCTGAAAGCCACAATTTTGCAGGTCTTATCTTTTGACATGTTAATATGAATTTCAATACAGTGAGCAAGTAGGTGCTTATTTTAATGGAAAATTAAGTAGAAAATACTACTACATCTTATAAAATACACCTAATCTGTTTGATTACAATGTTTTCAGGATTTTCTCCATAGAATATACAGCCCGCCTACTGCAGTGTAATGAAGTATTATCATGCCCAACAAATGTATTGAATCAGAAACTCTGCCTGTGGCTAGTGTCACTGAAACTGGTGTTAAATCCTGATAAATATTGAATAGAATTATGATAATAAGCTTCGATGGTCATTAGTGTTTGTATGTGTAAAACCTGAATGCCTCTTCCCTTAAACTCATCTAGTTCTAACTGGAGAAGCTTCAAAATACATGTACATAGTACTTAGGCAGATATTCTCAAAGTAGAAAGAATTTGTATTCAGGACTCCACTAACACCCCAAGAGTATATTTCTGCATTTCATGGACTACTTTTCTTGAACCTCCAAGATGCTAATTATTTCATTTAAATGAAGGAATCTCTTTAGTTATTTGCTGATTTCCATTTAAGACAAAGCAAGGCACATTTTTTTAGCATATAATTACCTTCTTACTTTGAGCAGATTTCAGGGAAGTTTTATGTGCCCAAGGAACATTATTTTGTTCATTGCAGATCAGATCCTTATTAAGAATGAGTTGCGAACATCTGCAGGTATAAATCCATCTTTGTGTTAACTTTGCTTCAAATGACAAATATTTCAATATAAAAATAAGGAGATGTGGTATGATTGCCAATGAGACAACTATCCAGTGACCCAAGTTCAATTGAAGTGGGTATAAGCAATTATAGGCAATCATACAGCATTCAACATTGAGAAAAACCCATACGTACAGTCAGCTCCAAAAGGCCCAGACATGAAAAATATGAAACAATTCAATTGAAAAAAATAACGGCCTAATTTATACCAAAACAATTTACGAAAAACAAATATGACAGACATGAACCAACAACAACTACTGAACTACATGTATGTGGCGGGGTTAAACATGTTTGTGAGCACTCAACCCTCCCCTAACCTGGGACAGTGGTGTTACAGCACAACCTAAGAACAAACTATAATAAACTGTTAACACAGAGATATGTCTCGCCTTTTTGCAATTTTGATAGTATAAAATGCAAATGTTGAAATTAAATAGCAATACTTTAACATGTAAGTTATGCAAATATTCAAGTCAATGAACCATGACTGAAAGTACATGTGCCAATGCTCATACAACTGCATACCAAATACCATTGACTTATCATAAGTCGTTCCCTAAACACAAACATTAACTTGTAAACTTCGTAAAAGTTTCAAAGTCAATGAACCATGATGAGGGGGTGGGGCTATATAATCTCCATGGAAAAGAGACTTGCAAATGCTAATAAATTTGCATACCAAATATCATTGACTTAACATTAGCAGTTCATCTTAAACTGATCTAATCACAAACTAATACATGTAAACTAAGCAAAAGTTTCAAAGTCAATAGACCATGACTGAGGGGGGCAGGGCCAAATAATCTCCATGGAAATGAGATGTGCCAATGCTAATACAACTGCATACCAAATATCATTGACCTACCACTAGTGGTTCATCATAAACTAGACTTATCACAAACTAATACATTGTTGACCCCGACGCTGGAAACAGCATACCTATGTCTCGCTTTTTACTCCGTAAAGGGGACACAAAAATCAGTTGAAAATGGTCAAGCATTTTAGACGGGATCAAAATAAGACTAGCTCTTAGGGATATTTTCTCAGAAAACAAATAAGTACCCACCTTACTCGTGCTTAAAGGTTATATAGTACAGTACCTCTATCAAAAATTATTTAATCATAGGGGATTTGGAGTATGGGGATAAGAAGGCAATTGATAACCAAAAGGTCCCCACTATTGCGATATAACCAAAAGGTCCCCACTATTGCGATATAACCAAAAGGTCCCCACTATTGTGATATAACCAAAAGGTCCCCACTATTGCGATATAACCAAAAGGTCCCCACTATTGCGATATAACCAAAAGGTCCTGATTATTACGATATTATAAACATACAAGAGCAGAAGATTTGTTTGAGTACAGGAGATAAGATCACATTCCATAACCAAAAGGGCCTGACTATCAGGTTTTTGTAAACTTACAAGACCAGGAGATCCGTTTGAGTATGGGGGATAAGAAGGCATTCCATAACCAAAAGGTCCTGCATTTCTGTCTTGTACTGGAGGTTTTCCTGAAAAAGACAAAATGCAATATAATATTTAAATGTATATATATATATATGAATCCTAAAAAATACAAGAAAACAGAGGCCTAATCATACCTACAATATGCTTGACTGGAGGATTTTATCTTGGCTATTTATGTCATTTTTATGTCATTTTAACAGAACTAAAAAGACGAACACAAGATTAATTTAAGGTCAAGTGACAATTGTCAGATGGAGATACCATCTTTCAAAGAAATTCACATCTCAGATTATTGACCTTTCAAATAATTTAACAACCATTGAATGTTACACACTTCTAAGGCTACCTTAACTTTTGTCCTATCTAAGTTTCAAAGTGCAGTAACTCTGAAGAAATTTATCTGAGTGCAGGGAACTTTCACATCAAAGCCACACTTGGTTCCATTCAGTGCAATGTTATTAACTGCTTGTAATTTCACATTTACAAACTTCCCCATATGAAATTTGTACATACATGTATGACGATCTCCATGTGTATATTCTCAATCCCCCCCCCCCCCCCTTTTCTACAAAATGCAAAAGTAATAAAAAGAAATTAGATAGTGCACAACCACACATCATATTAAATTAATCTGTCAAGTCTTATCCTACTACAATGTTTACTGAATGTTTTGTGATGACCAACTTTTATAACAAACAGAAAGATGTGTGCCAAATCCACAGAACAGGACAAAAATATTATGTAATGCATAATTTTTAACACGAGAGGTAAAACAAGTCATAGCCAGTAAACTATGACTGGCTGACAAATTCATATATTTATAGTAAGGTGTGAGCTGAAGAAATAAAAGTAAATGTAATACTAGTATTTGTTCAACATTAACTCATATACAAAGCAAAATCATTTGCTTAGTGACAACGGTTTTTTGTTTTAAATGAACAAGGATTTTTCTATGATCTTCCTTTCATTTGTAAATCACTTATATTCAAGTCAAACCACTGCATAGGTGAAAATACAAAACTTGAAGAGACCTCAATAAGAATTCATTTGCAAGTGTCCCCCTAGTATGGCGCGGAATCAGGGTAAAAAAAGTCTGTGTATACGGAATTATTTCTGTATAAACGTAATTCAATTTACGTTTAAACGTAATTATATTTGTATATTCGTAAATCGAATTATGTATATACATAAATAAGTATTTTTGACCCTGATTCCGTGCCATACCCTAGCAAACTGTTTTCCAATAAACATAAGCAAGGCCAAAAAATATGTTGTGTTTAGTTACAAACCTGTTTAAAAAGAAGGGTCAGTTTGTTAGATTAAAAAAAAAATGCATTTGAAACCAAACATTGTATATTAATGTAATTAGGTCAGAAAATGACATAAATCCAAGAAATTCATTTGTAATTAAACATTGTATATTTATGTCATAAATCAGAAACCTATCTTAAGGTTTAATCTTTGATTTTGTAACATATTTCATATGTTGATGACTATCTTGGTAACAACTGCTGTATTATAAGTTAAGTTTAATGAACTAAAAGAAAACATTCTGTCATCAATTTAGAACTGGAAGTTTGGACATTATATCAAAAGTAGCAAAAGTTCGATTTCAGACCTTGTTTCAAACGTTATCAAGAGTTCTAATTCCAGACAGTTGTCAACAAGAGCACCTTTAATTTTTACAATTAAAAATTTGAGTCAGGAGTAACATAACTTGCCTTCCAGATTTTCAAAATAATTGTTCTCACACAGTTTCAAAATATTTGGTCTTGTACAGTACATACAGTAAAGACCGAAAAACAGACTATCTACCTCAAGCAGTCAACTTTTTTTCAGCTTTAAATAAAAGTTAGAACCATCAAATAAAACCTTTGGACTATGTAAGTATGCATGTATTAAGTTTCAAAATAAAGAATAAATGTTGTACTCGTTATTCTGCATCTAAACCAAAAATAAATGCTGTTCTAGCAATTCTGTAAATAAACCAATTTTAAATTTATCAAATTCAACAAAATTGATAGCTGAAGAATTTAGCATTGTAAAACAGATGGTGAATTTTACACCAATATCATTATGTCCTGGGTGGTCTTATAATAGATCATGGAAATTCAAATATGATTCAAATTTTCTACCGATCAAGCTTCAATCTATGAAGTTATACAACCGATGGGAAATTAGCAAAATATTCAAAGAAAACTCAACAGCCTGCGGCTTGCAATTCAAACAAACATTCTGACACAAGACCCCAAATTATATACATATCATGGTTTGTTAAAGACTAACTACAACCCTTTGATCTTATGTTTTTGATCTCAGGAGAAAATCTTTAAGGAATAACTAGTCTATTGACTTTATCCAACTAATTACTTGGTGATGCTGCAAACAGCTGATCGATAAATACGACCTCAAATTTATGGTCATTTTTAACATGTGTTTTTAACATTCTTAAAAATATCAAATGAAGGAAAGGTTTATCTTTTGATCAGTTTGTATTGCCACCACTTGTGAACAAAGAGAACTTGATCTGATTTGTTTTAATATTTATACAAGGTCAATATGTCCTAATGTTTACTATCATTGAATCTTAATTTGGGACATATGGTGATTTAAATTCTATGATTCTTTCTTCCTGCAACATTTTCAGAACATTTCCTTCTGTATAGTTGAAGTCATTGAAGGGAACCAACTTCTATTTCTTCAAAACATTGAAGTTACCTCCCTTGTATCATTTGCTTTTGTAATGAATTTGTCTCCCTTTTCCCACCATTTCCATCAAAAATTTGTCACTCCCTAAATAATATTACCAATAAAGAAATGCCATCATCTTGGACAAGAAAATTGTTAGGGTGACAAAATGTTTGTAAAATTACAATAGTCGGAGAAGGTTTTATGAAACCAATATGATTAAGTAAAAAGAATATAATAATATTCACATGTAAAAATCCAGCAGAAGTATTATGGCCGAGATCAAAACTATACATTACCCTAACAGATGGAACCAATCAACAAAACTAGATTTTTTTATTTTTTCTATGGAATTCAAATAAAGTTCTGATGGTTATATGTCATACAAAAGATCAAATGATTCGCATGTTATTAGGTAGTAACTGTCTTTCCTGTGAACCAGACATGAAATAATGATGGGTGTGCACTAGCTTGGATCATTCTCACAAACTTTTACCAAGGTTTTATGCAATACATTTTTGACTTAATCAGGCTGTTAGTTGTTCCCTTTTGAAATATTTCACATTTGCTAAACAGGAGCATGTTATAGCATTCCATATGGCAGTAGTTTTGGGCAAAATGTGACCTGTTGTTGTGAATTTCTTTGGTTTTTTTTTCCAATGTGGATAGTTTTAAATAATGCCACATACTTTATATATATATCCACAAAAAAAACAATCTAGCAATTTCATCTTCCATATAATTTGATAAACTTAAAGCTGACTACCAATGGTTAAGAATACAACTAACCCTTCACATGGAGCTAGCAGTTCAATTTTGGGGACTACAGGACAGGTAGTTTTTAGCAGAATTTATCTGGTTGGAAGGTTTTAAGGAATATAATAATTATTCAAAACAACGCTGATAAAAATCATTTAAACCAAATTTTTTTAACATAAAAAGAGTAAAAATTCCATTTTGTTTTTCCTGAAATTGAAAATTTAAGACCAATTTTAGAAGTGGGCTGAAACTGACTTGATCAAATAAACAAACTGCATGTAAACTGTTCCATAGCTGAGCTACTTAGGCTAGGTGTTGGTAAAAATATCTTTAGACAACACGCAAATACTTCTGAAGTTATATTTTTAATTTATCTTCCAGACTTTCTACAATCACTTGGTACTATTGGTCTGCCTTTTTTTCATTATATGTTACACATTGTACATTCAACCTGTATCATGTTTTTTAAACTAGAGGGACACAATCATGCACGTCTGTGTACTTGAAGGGTGTGTGTACATTCAACCTGTATCATGTTTTTTAAACTAGAGGGACACAATCATGCACGGCTGTGTACTTGAAGGGTGTGTGTACATTCAACCTGTATCATGTTTTTTAAACTAGAGGGACACAATCATGCACGGCTGTGTACTTGAAGGGTGTGTGTACATTCAACCTGTATCATGTTTTTTAAACTAGAGGGACACAATCATGCACGGCTGTGTACTTGAAGGGTGTGTGTACATTCAACCTGTATCATGTTTTTTAAACTAGAGGGACACAATCATGCACGGCTGTGTACTTTCATTCAACCTGTATCATGTTTTTTAAACTAGAGGGACACAATCATGCACGGCTGTGTACCTGCATTCAACCTGTATCGTGTTTTTTAAACTAGAGGGACACAATCATGCACGGCTGTGTACTTGAAGGGTGTGTGTACATTCAACCTGTATCATGTTTTTTAAACTAGAGGGACACAATCATGCACGGCTGTGTACTTGAAGGGTGTGTGTACATTCAACCTGTATCATGTTTTTTAAACTAGAGGGACACAATCATGCACGGCTGTGTATTTGAAGGGTGTGTCAGAAAGTCCTTCTGTTAAATTCTTTTCCCTATTTTTGAATTGACCAGAGTTCTAGCTGTTTTACCACTTTTAACTAAATAGACAGGTTTAGAAGTTCAATGTTATATTTTTTTGTTTATATTCTCATAAATGACATGATCTATTATACAATGGGATTTCTATGATGTTTCTTTTCACAAACATAAGCATAGATGTACTTATTTTCCAGCAACAAATTATGATATAACTAGTGTTAAATTACTGACCATTTCAATTAAAATGACAAGAATCATTGCAATTAACTGTCTGTTACAAATCTATTTCAAATAGATAGAGACCCTAAGGAAACATCGTTTACCCTTGAATTCATGGTTAGTGCATGCATGATGTATCATCGTCACAGTCTGTGCCAGAAACCACTTGCCCTTTGTAAAAATTGGCTCATGCTAGTGAAATTTTCAATAACTCGATTAGGCATTATATAGAAGTATTTTCTTGAAATGAGCTTTCATGCTAGTAGTTATACAA